CCAGCAAATTTTAGAGACGCCTGCAAAAAGGTCCACTTTCTCTTTGTGCCACCCCAGTTCAATCAATACATGAGGGTGTCAAATTTAGGGAACCCCCGAAATGATCTCATGGTCCTTCTGGTTTCCCTTTGAAGCCAACCGAGAGGTGGGGAACTCCCCAAACACGGCACGGCCATTTGCACGCCGCCTGCCTTTCCTTGCCAGCACGAACTGCGGCAAGGTGGCACTCTGCACTGCGGAGTGGATCGGAGCGCTCTGAAACACGCGCTTCAGGCTGGTCAAAGGAAGGCTCTCCATGGCAGGAGGAGGGCAGATCAAGGCAAACCCTGCAGCTCAAAAGGCTGCCGCCGATCGAACTTCCAGAGCTCCTTTGCCATGCCCCAATGGAAAGATTATCCTCTTTCCAACTATCGGAAGGAAGCTGACGATCGGAAGGCTTTGGAAAACAGTCCTCGTGGCAAGGCCTTCTGCCCACCCATTTTTACGCTGAAGAGCTCTTCAGCACACATTCCTTGCCACTCAAGAAAAGAGCAAGTGGAGAGGGGTGTATTGATACCCTCTTCCCCCGGTATAGAGGTAAAGCAAGCGGAAAACCGCAGCCATTGGGAGTCCTCAGGTCGACACATACCCTGCGTGAGCGCTGAGGCTCCCTCACTCTCACGCCTCCGCATCTGATCCGAGGAAGTTATCCTCCAGGTACTGGCCATGGCCTGAACCTGGCGTCCGAACAAGCAGCTTGGGGCCTGGTTGGTTTCACCGACCTTGCCAAACCAGCAGAACGCTTTGTTCTTGGCAGCATCACCAAGACTGAACTGGACCAACAAACTGAAAAACATGCAAAGAGCGGTGAAGTGACCTCCGTCACTTCCTGAGTGGGCTGTTTGCTTTTTACTAGCCTCGGTTCAACACAAGGCCCCCCATGGGCATCTAAACAGCTTTTCGCTGCAAAAGGTCCGAGTGGATTGGCCAACCAAGTCTGAACCTTTCCCAAAATGATCCTTCACTTTCGACGGTGTTCTCTTCTGCGAGTTCTTGGATTGGCCAACCAACAATCCCACAGAATTTTGCTTGCCAGCCCGCCTCTCCAACTCAGGAACCCCTGGGTTTAAGTCCAGGAGCCCCTGGGTTTGAGTCCTAGCGGGATTCTCTTGATTGCAGTCCTCTGGATGGACCCATTTCAAACGGACCTGTGACCAAATGGAGACCTTCCTTTGAATACACATCGAGACCCAAATGAGTCACAACCAAGACCTGGTGTTCACATGGTCTACCCACACATGAAAGGAATTAACAAAAAGGCGGCGAAGGCACACTTCTACTAACCTTCTACCCGCGTTTTGAGGACGTTGCTCAAAATGGACCCCTTTTCGCACATGGACCAACCTGAGTTGCCCCAAGCGCTTGGCTCCTGCCTGGCCATCCAGCTCTCCCCACAGAATGGGGTTCATCCGGTCGCCCTGGAAGAAGATGCACACCTCAGCTTTGACGGCCCCCCGAAAAGGTTTAACCCCTGATGAATCCGGTTGGTAGGTGGAGTTGTCCAGTATTCGTAGGGCAACAAATCCATGCCTCACCTGAAGGCAGGTGAAGCTTCCTGGATAATGTTGACCTCAGATTTAAGCACAACCTGGTGGTGGATTCATAGTGCGCAGTGCAACTTCCCAAGGCGATCCGGACTTTTCTTTCAGATTGAGACGCCGGCACAATCCCGTAAACATCAAGCAGGGATTTTGACTTACCCTCCTATCCAAGTGTGAAACCGGACGTTTCGGAGTCGTGGTTTGGACGATATTCCTTTAAAAGAGGTCATTTCTCTGGTGGGTTCCATGGCAACAGGAGGGTAATTGGGTTCCCAAAATCCATTGGATCGGATTTGTTCCTTCCCTTTGAAATCCAGGCTTCCCCCCCTGTCTTGAGGAGACGGATCCTTCACTTGTGGGAACACCGGGCCTCGCATTTTCCACATTGATGCTTCTTCGGGAGTCACATAATTTTCGCGCTTGGTGCGATTTTGTGGAAAAAGTCCAAAGTTCCACGAAACGCACCAGTAGAAACCCTGGTGACCCAGACATGATCCCCCTCCCCATGCGACCAAAGGGAAAACAACAAAAGCAACCCAGCTTTCTCCAGTTGACTCTCGTCCAACAATGTCGTTCTTGGACGGACTTCCCCCCCCCCCCCCCCCGCAAAAATATGTTGCTGGTCAACGGAAGATACGAAAAACCCAAAAGAGCAAAGAAAACCACGGTCACGGAAGCGTGGCAATGAGAAAAGGACTCCCTTTGCTCAAGGACAACAAACTAAACACCTGTTAAGGCCATATTTAGCGACTCCACTTCCTGAAGACTCTCTCCAACTCCTTCAGCAAAGTCCTGTGCTTGGTCTCCAAATCAACTGGCCGCAATTGTTGCATCCCCTTGTGGTTGTCCCTTTCGAAACCAGAAGGGCTGGGTTCCCCCAAGCAGACATCTCGATCTCAGGTGGCATTCTTCCTACGCCCCTGCAACCACTCCTCAACCACTCCGGATGCCATTTAGAGGGGATAAACAAACACGGACCCCCCAGGTTGGCAGTGGGTCAAACATAACCCAAAATGGAACCCCTGGAAAATGGAAACATGGACTAAAATCTGCGGTCTGCTGGTTTACCTTTGACCCATACCCATTTTGACACCCCCCCCCCCCTCTGCGCGGAATCCGACTCCACGGCACGGCGTTGGGCCACACGTCGGCGCCAAAGACTGCCTCCAAGGGGTAGGTGGCTCGCAGGCGCTCGTAACCTGAGCGCGGCTTGGAACTTCCTCAAGCTTCGTTTTGACCTGGAAGCCAAAAGAAACCAACCATCTTGGAATCGGAGTCCCTAATTCTCAACTTGTCAAGAGCAAGCCCTCAGACTGGAAAACCCCATGCTCAACCCTTTGTGGCCCAGGCCTGTGCAACTGAGGCCAAGAGGGCCAGTGGGATCCAGATATATCCTGTTGAAAGTCCCTATTGGACAGATCCACACGGAAATCAGACCAAATCTCGACCTCGAGATTTCAGGTTGGGCCAAGCGTGGGCCCCCTTTCTGGCATGGTTGCTGAAGCTACCTGTGTGGCTTGGGAGCAACCCTGACCACACAAATTCGAGGCTAAGTCAATTCAGCAGCAGCTTGGCCGTGAGCAAAAAAAGCGCCTGGTCAGATGTTTTGTTGCATACGCCATGCTCCAAGGCGGGGGCAAATGATAAATCTTACCGCAAAATATTGCAACAATTCAAAACTTGAAGTGAGGCCCCCCCCCCCCCCCCACACCCCCACCCTCCCAAGAATAAACCCTCATGATGCGACTCGCCCGCGCGCTCGCCAATGCTGCCACAGGGCGATCATACTCGAAGTGCACCTCGATGGTCACGGTGAAGTCGTCCTGGCCAACTTCACGCCGACACCTCTGTCCCCCCCTCCACCAATATGGTGGAGTTTGCAGTATCTCTTTACACACGACTTGACAACTGAAACAAAAAGTTTATGTTTGTTAAACTCTTGTTTAAATTGTTCATTGTCTAACACTAACACTTGGTCAAGTTCTCTCTTGAAAGTTCGTAGATTTACCTTATTGGTTTTTGATAAGAGAATAGGCGGGTTCATACACTCTTTGAAGAAAAGTATTAGTTGCTCCGGTCTTGTTAGTTTTTTTGCTACGATGTTCTTCTTTAAAAACTTCGCTTCCTTCTGGTGCGCATGGCAAGTGGATCTCCTAGGCGAAACCCCTGATTGCTTACAGGGAAATGGCTTGTCAGTTCCTAAGAGGTGGACCCAGTGCCAGCATCCTTGAGACCCGAAACGCCCAACCTCCCGACATGTGGACCCCCCCAAAAAAAAAGAAGAACATGATGCTTAGAGCAATCTTTGTGTTGGAGACCCCCAAAAGGGGGTTCCATGTGAATTTGCGCGTGGCAAGGAAATGTTCCATGGATTGAAGGAGCTCGATATTCGCTCGGGAAGATTTTTCAGGAGGTTTGTCCGGACGGAAACAACAGTACTCCAGGTCTTGACCCCTCGTCCACCGAGGGACTGAATTGATTCGTTGACCTGTGCATTGATCGACCTCTGCAACTCCCCCAAATCCGCAAACTGGGACACCTGCCCATCAGTCGATTTATACTGGGTTCTAGTGTTTCTGCATGAGCGGGTCAAGAGGTGACCTGCGGATGTGGGTCCTCAAAATGATGGGAACCACCAAATGGATTTCGGTGTTCTTTTGGTTTCCCTTTAAATCAAACCAAAAGGGGCGCCAAGGAACACAAGACAGGTGTGTTCCCTAAGATGGTTCGCATCACCAGGGGGGTCAAGTCCCCAAACTACTGGAGGAAAGCTGAATCTGAATATCTAGTCTATGCTAGGATACAAAACAATTTTGGATATCACAGCAGTGGTCAGTTGCTAGAACCGTGCAAACAGCTTCGTACCACTCGCCTGCTGCGCGGTGATGCCCAGGCATAGGTCGTGGGCCGCACAAATCTGGTGGCCCTAAGCATGGATCAAAAATCACGACTCTTGGTTGCCCTAAAAGCAAGGGGTCGTCAATCTTGGGTCAAAGTAGGAGCTTCCTCGTGGCCTCTTGCTAAAACCTTTCATTGTAAAAGGGGCCCCTCAATTTTGCACATCTGCACATGGGCGGCGATCTGCCCTCGGTTCCCCAAGGAAATTTGAAAACTGCGGGAACCAACATTCGGCCTGAATGGGCCCGTGGAAGCCACTATGGGGGGTGGGGGGAACAGATCCGTTTCCTTTGTCCGAAGCACTGCCCAAACTTTGGGATATCCGAACTTGGCAATTTGTGCAGAATCCTCTTCAAAAGGGAATTTTGCTTCAATCTTCAAAGGAACTGTACGTTCAAGGGGGGCGGTTGTTTCAGGCCTCTTGCAATGGTAGCATGTTTGAGTCCTCCTGACACACACACACACACACCAGAGGGATCGATTGTTTTAGGAGGCGGGCTGATATTCGGCCGTAGTGCTTTGGTTGTGGCTACGTTCAATAACAGCGGCTGAGGAGGCCAAAGCGTGGCCATGTGAGCGCCCGCTCGAAAGCACCTGCGCAGCACTTCGCGCCTGCCTGCCAAATCATAAGCACCCCTCAAGAACACCTGCTCAGCACGTCGTACACGCCTGCCAAAAGAAGAAAACAAAAAGAAAAAAAGCGGGTCAAAGTATTCAGAACACACATACGCAAGGGTTGGGCAAGTTGCGGAGAGGCAGGCGCTGTATTGGCGCGGGGGAATCGGACGGTTCCTTGGTGTCCCGCTGGAAATCAAGTCGAGTCGAATCACAATTTGCCACGGCCAATATCGTGGCAAGATGTGTGAGCTCTCTTCCAAAATGGGTCTATGTTGTAGTCCGCTTCATAGTGGGGGGGTGCTTTTGCTTACACCTTGTTGAACAAACGCCTGTTGTTCAAGTCATTTTCAAACCGACTCCTTAAGGCTTTCATACCGATTGTCCAAACGGGCTTTTGCTTTAGTTTTTTGTTCAAGCACTGCTTAAGGAGGCCTTTCAATCGTTCTGATTGTTGCCAGCACAATAATCATCTGGGCAGTCACTGTAATAAAACAAACCGGAGAAGGGGAATTCCCAAAAAGCCTTCATCATGGAGCTCGTTCTACCTCCAAATCGGTGAGCTCGGTATCATGTGTCCAGACCATTTGAGGGTGTTTTGTACCCTCTATGGTGAACTTGCTCAACTTAACCGAAACCAAAACGAAACAACATATCCTTAGAGCTTGTCCCTGAAAAGGCTGTCGGTCAAAACCCTGTACCCCTGGTGAACATCAAAATAGGTGGCGAATGATGGCGAATGGATGTTCATCCACCCAAAATGGAGCCATAGGTTATGCCCCATGGCCAAAACACTCGGTCGAGCGGCCGTGGGCATGGCGAAGACGCCTCCCGGGGCCGGCTCCTGGCAAGCAAGGTGACCCGAAAGAGTTGGACCAGGTTCGAACAAAATGGGTGTCTATTCTTAGGGAGTCCCCCAAAAATGCGGCTTTCTCGCCTTTCCCCGTTTTTGGCTTCCCATCGAGATCATGAAAGAGGCCGGTCCGCTGGGTTATCCCAGCTACTGCGGAGCCTGACTGAAGGGTCCTCTGGTGGGTCCATGTTGGAGGGGAGGATGCAATTTTGACAGACATCTGGGAAAGGAACAAGGAACCCCTCGAGAAATTACATGCGGCGTGTCTTGCAATTGGTGGGAAGCCATCCGTTTGGAGAGGCCTTGTCGGCAAATTGTCATGTTTCCGCTCGTAAGACTGTCAGTAGTTTTGTCAATGTCAAAATGACTCAGAAGGTGATGCTTGAATCACCTTTTGGGGCTTTACCCCATCGATTTGACCTCCAAATGGGTGAAATGTTGGTGTATATTGCTGGAGTGTGTAGCCTATACTGGCAATCAGAATCGTTGCAACCGCCATCAAGTTGCTCATATGAGCCCTGGTCAACATTCATTGTGCCCCCAATACCATTGCATTTTGGTGAGTAACCCCTTTTTCTAATGGTAGTTTGGCGAGTGTAACCCATTTACAACTCTTGATGATCCAAGTTTGTTTAAAAATAACCTTCGGTTGTAAAGCGCCTATGACAACTATGTCACCCCTATTCACAAATGATGGCAAGTATTGACCATTGCTCATATGGGGTTGAGTTCAAATGGGTCTTTTGGTGGACATCTTTTAGGGGAAGATTCATGTCCACCAACCACTTAGGAGGAGTTGTCCTATTGAAATTCCTCCATTTGCTTAAAGTGCCCTGGAAAAAATGTCTAGTAGTGATAGATTCCTCTGAAAACCAGCTGGGAAAAATAACAAACCATACTCTTAAACAAATGAGTGTCCCCCCGAATTGGTGGTTGTCCTTTCGGTTTTCCAATGAAACCAGCAAAACATAGGACCCTAAAAAAGCCCGGGTGGTATCCCCAACATCTCCAGAACCCTCTTGGAAGTTGCCCCAAACCACCCCAAGCCTGCACAGAGACCCGCTAGCTTTCAGCTGGGGAAAAAAGACGGACCCAAACGGAAGGATTCATGGCTGCACAGGAGTCACTGGATTTCCCCAAATACAAATTTAACTCAATTACTGGTGGCTTCCATCGAAACGATCGCCACAGGCTCCCTTGAAAGGGAAATGGCCATATGCCCCACCTAAGAATCCCTGGTTTCTGACTGATTCGACTCCCCACCAAAACATACCCTACCCAAATTTCTCATGGTGCGAGCGGATGGTATCCACCGTATCCACCGCATCCCCCCCCCCCGTGGCGCCCGGCGCCCCCGGCCCGCGCCCGGCGCCCCCGGCCGCCGGGACGGGCCTCCACGGCGCCGTCAGGTCTCAGCTCCCCGGGCTCCGTCTCCGGGCGACCGGGAGCGACTTGCTGCAGCTCCTCCTGACGGTGGCGCCTCGCGTTGATTGCCAGATGAGAAATGGAATGACCCCGAAAGAAAAAACAAAAGCCTCCGACCAGTTTGGCTTC